GACGCTCTTCCGATCTACTGCCTGGTGTGTCAGCACTGCCTGGTGTGTCAGCACTGCCTGGTGTGTCAGCCCTGCCTGGTGTGTCAGCACTGCCTGGTGTGTCAGCAGGACCTGGTGTGTCAGCCCTGCCTGGTGTGTCAGCAGGACCTGGTGTGTCAGCCCTGCCTGGTGTGTCAGCACTGCCTGGTGTGTCAGCAGGACCTGGTGTGTCAGCAGGACCTGGTGTGTCAGCAGGACCTGGTGTGTCAGCACTGCCTGGTGTGTCAGCAGGACCTGGTGTGTCAGCACTGCCTGGTGTGTCAGCACTGCCTGGTGTGTCAGCAGGACCTGGTGTGTCAGCACTGCCTGGTGTGTCAGCACTGCCTGGTGTGTCAGCAGGACCTGGTGTGTCAGCACTGCCTGGTGTGTCAGCACTGCCTGGTGTGTCAGCAGGACCTGGTGTGTCAGCAGGACCTGGTGTGTCAGCCCTGCCTGGTGTGTCAGCACTGCCTGGTGTGTCAGCACTGCCTGGCCATTGCTGCTCTCTGGGGAGAAGCAGCAGAAACATTTTCAGCACAAATCAAGGTGTAGATCCTGCCCACCACACTCAGACGTCTCTTGTCCCTCCAGGACAGTTCTCTGGAGTCTCTGTGTTACCTTCAAGCTTCTCCCATCTGAATAAACCCGCAGAAATTGGTATTTTCCTCTTCCTGCCTGCCTCTGTGGGCTTCTATCATGGGTAGATGACAGAAGGAAGACAGAGCAGCAAAAGGGAATTTCACAATCACATTTAATGTCCCAGAGCACTGTTTTGCTCTACAAATTTGGAGGAATTTCCTGTGTTGGGCCCATTGGGGGAAGCCAGGGCTGGAAGCTGACCTTGCTGTCCTTGTTCTCTCCTCTTGCAGCTCATTTCAGGATGTCAGCTGAGCCCTGGCAAGCAACCAACAAAGGAATAAACCCTTCACAAGCAACAGACTGAAAGTCCCTTGGTTATCCCTGGTGGCACAACCTGAAACATCAGCTTCTTCCCCTCATAGGAACTTCCCAGCCACAACAACCCCATTTATTCTGCATTTCTGATCCATTCCCCCTAGCTGGCCCACCTTGTCCCCAGCCCAGAGCCCTGAGTGCCACGTCCAGCCCTTCCTTGGGCACCTGCAGGGATGGGCACTGCAAAGCTCCCTGGGCAGCCCCTGCCAAGGCCTGAGCTCCCTTTCCACGAAGAAGGGGTGATATGCTAATAATAATCCTAATAATAATGTGGATTCCTGATCTGGCTCTTGCACTGGTGCAGAGTCCCCATCTTATCCCCCTGGTACCTCAGGACTCAAAACCTGGTGTATATATTTAAACACAAATGCAGATTCTCCTGAATGGCTTCTGATCCCTTCAACAGGAGCTCTTCCTCCTTCATCCTGCTGGGTGTCCCTGGCCTGGAAGCTTTCTCCACCTGCCTGGGCATCCTTTTCTACTCCGCCTACGTCCTCGCCATGGTAGGAAACGGGGCGGTTTTGCTGGTCCTGGGGCTGGACAAGGCCCTGCAGGCCCCAGCCATTGCTTCCTGGGCATGCTGGCCGGCATCGACGTGGCCACGGTCACGTCTGTCATCCCCAGGATGCTGAGCGTCCTCTGGCTGGGCTCTGCCGAGATGGGCTCCGTGGCCTGCTTTGTGCAGATGTTCCTGGTGCACTCCACCACAGCCGAGGAGTCGGGAGTGCTCCTGGCCATGGCCTTTGACCGCTACCTTGCCGTCTGCCACCCTCTCCGGTACCGCTGCATCCCGACCGGCCGAGCCATTGCCCGGGTGGGCCTGGCCATCGTTCTGAGGGCTCTCCTGTGCACAGTGCCCCTGATGGCGCTGGTGACGTCCCTGCCCTGCTGCGGCTCCCGCCTGGTGCCCCACTCGTACTGCGAGCACCCGGCCGTGGCCAGCCTGGCCTGCACCGGGCCCGGGCCCAGCGGCCCCTGCAGCGTGGCCTGGTCCTCCCTGATAGCGGGGACGGACCTGGCTTTCATTGCCGTGTCCTACGGGGTGATCCTGAGAGCTGTCCTGGGGAAGGAGCCCGGCTGGAAGGCCCTGAGCGCCTGTGGGTGCCACCTCTGCGTGGTGCTGCTGTTCTACGTCCCCGGGATCGTGTCCATCTACTGCCAGCGGTTCCCCGGCGCCGTGGCCGCGGGCACGCGGGTCCTGCTGGCCGACCTGGACCTGTACCTGGCCCTGCCCGCCGTGCTCAAGCCCCCGGTGCACAGCGCCAGGGGCCGGCAGCTCGGCCGGGCCCTGCTCCAAGTGCTCCTCCCCAGCAGGGTTTGTGCCTGCTGCAGGGGCCCGTGGCTCTCCAGGCGCGTTCGTCTCTGCCAAGGCAGCCCAGGGAGTGCGGGAGGTGAGCAGGGGCCGGGAGGACTTTAATGAACTTTAATGAGCTTTAATGAACCCCTGCTCCATAACCAGGGTATTTGGGACTGGGAGCAAGAGCACACTTCAGGCCTTCTTCCCCTTCCTCCTCTCCAGGTGCTAGGAGCAGCAAGAAGCCAGCTTTGAGTTTGGAGATGTTCCCAGTGCCAGGAACAGCCCTGTGATAATTTCAGGGCTCCAGGCACACCTGTGCCAATGATCCTGATCCAGATGGAGAGATTTCTTCTGTCTTGTCTTCTTTAGCCCCCCTGGGCTATCCCAGTGGTTCTCCTCTCTGGGCCCCTCTTGCCTAAAGGACTGAGAGGATCATGGATTGTGGCTGAGCCCCAACCAGATTTTCCAGGTTTCTGGGTGTTGGTGGAAACTGAGCACACTCAAAACTGAGCCCTCCAAAGCCCTCTGTCCCTGCAGAGTCACAGAATCACCACGGGTGGAAGACACCCAGCTGGCTGTGAGGGGGGAAGAGGAGTGGAGGGCTGAGGCTGTATCCACCGGGTGCTCCGGCACTGGCACAGGCTGCCCAGGGAAGTGCTGGAATTACCATTCCTGGAGGTCCAAGCAGTGTGTGGATGTGGCGTGTGGGGACATGTGTTAGTGGTGGGATGGCAGTGCTGGGGGAATGGCTGGGTCTGATGGCCTGGGAGGGTTTTTCCAAACCTAATGACCGTGATTAAGGCGAGGATCCCGAAGGAAATCATCAGACACGGGGTGTCCAGACACATCTGGGGCAGAGCTCCACAGGTCACCCCCAAAATCATGGAAGTGCAAGAGCTGGGTGCATCACAGTTCATCCCTCTGACCTCTTCTGGGTGGCTTGGAGCAGCCTGGTGATGTCCAAGAGCTTCCACGATGCAACAACCCTGCCCAGCTGGGGCTGTCCCTGGATCCCTGGCAGTGCCCAAGGCCAGGCTGGACATTGGGAGCTCCTGGGACAGTGGGAGGTGTCCCTGCCATGGCTGGGCTGGGAATGGGTGGGATTTGGGGTCTCTCCAGCCCAAACCATCCTATGAATTCCGCCCTAAAATCACTGTTTGTGCCACAGCCATGAGGGTGATCTGAGGGTTCCTGACACAGCCCAACACCACAAACACCACCACAGCTGCCACAGACCCCACCCAAAACTCCTTCCCTAAGTCTTCACTTCTACATTAAAGTTAAAACTCAGTGGATTGCTTCCTGTTTCAAAACTGCTTTGAATCTGTCATTCTTCACCTCACACATATTTTTCCTATCTTTGTGGTGTTTGTGCCTTTCTGCAGCACCTTCCCTGACATCTCAGAAACCACTTGGCAGAATGTTTCTGCTGCACTAAATTTGCACATTTTTCTACGCTGAATTTGCACATTTTGGGTTTACACTGCCTGGGGCGTGGGAGAGAGACCCTGGTGGGGGCACGGATATCCCATTCCATGGCACGGTCTTGGTGCTGAGAGCCAGCAGAGAACTGTGAATGAAACTGCTCCGGCATTCTCCAGGCAAACACAAGAGAGGGCTTTTAGTTCTGCTGGAGGCAACTTGTGTGGCACATTCCTGTCTGGCTGGGCCATCAAGGCCAGGCTGGACAGGGCTTGGAGCAGCCTGGGCTGAGGAGATGTCCCTGCCCATGGCTAGGGTGGAATGAGATGGGGGTCCTTTCAAACCAGCCCGATCATTCCATGATCTCCTAGCACATGCCACTCATAGATGAGATGAGAAGAGGTGAGATGAGATGAGATGATGAGATATGAGATGAGATGATGAGATATGAGATGAGATGATGAGATATGAGATGAGATGATGAGATGATGAGGGATTCAGGCTGCTCCCCTCTGGCCCTGCTGAGGTTGTTACGGAGGAGCCTGGAGAGGACTCGTGCCTTTGGGAATCCCCATCTCAGATACTCCCACTGGCGTTTCCCAGGGTGATTTATGCTCAGCCCTGGAGCACAGGAGTCGTTTCTTTCTGGTGTGGCCGTCCCCAGGGTGGAGCTGAGCATGGAGGGAGCCAGGTGGGTGCTGGTGGCAGCTCGGGCACAGCCCCAGGCCAGGGCTGGGGGGATTTCAGCATCCAGCCTGGAGCCTGCACAGTGGGACAGAGCCAGGAAAAAAAGCAGCAGCTGGAAATCTCTTCTAAAAGTAGTTTTTCATACTTTCTTATCAAACCAAACTGCCATTCAAACACCGTGGAGTTCTGACTCTCTAAGTGTTTTTTTAGGTAAAAATTGGACTGGGGTTTAAAAAAGTAAACAAGAAACATCAAACCTTTTAACTAAACCCAGAAACTGCTGCAAAGGAGTTGACTTGTTTCTGATTGTATAATTAATCCATAATTAGCTGAATATGCATTTCTGGATTTTCACACAAACTGTATTTTCAGCCATGGGAAATGTTCTTACTGCCTTGACAGCAGAGCGGGTGTTGGGATGGGGAGGTGTGGAGCTGGGGGCTCCCAGCACCAGGGTTTGCTGAAATGGGCTGGGTCATGTCACGGGGGGCTCCAGGGGGGACTGGGGAGAGGGGAAGGAGGCAGGCAGGGCCCTGGAATCCTGGCTGGCTGTTGGGAAGAACAGAGTGCCCAGAGCAGCTGGGGCTGCCCCTGGATCCCTGGCAGTGCCCAAGGCCAGGCTGGACATTGGGAGCTCCTGGGACAGTGGGAGGTGTCCCTGCCATGGCTGGGCTGGGAATGGGTGGGATTTGGGGTCTCTCCAGCCCAAACCATCCTATGAATTCCGCCCTAAAATCACTGTTTGTGCCACAGCCATGAGGGTGATCTGAGGGTTCCTGACACAGCCCAACACCACAAACACCACCACAGCTGCCACAGACCCCACCCAAAACTCCTTCCCTAAGTCTTCACTTCTACATTAAAGTTAAAACTCAGTGGATTGCTTCCTGTTTCAAAACTGCTTTGAATCTGTCATTCTTCACCTCACACATATTTTTCCTATCTTTGTGGTGTTTGTGCCTTTCTGCAGCACCTTCCCTGACATCTCAGAAACCACTTGGCAGAATGTTTCTGCTGCACTAAATTTGCACATTTTTCTACGCTGAATTTGCACATTTTGGGTTTACACTGCCTGGGGCGTGGGAGAGAGACCCTGGTGGGGGCACGGATATCCCATTCCATGGCACGGTCTTGGTGCTGAGAGCCAGCAGAGAACTGTGAATGAAACTGCTCCGGCATTCTCCAGGCAAACACAAGAGAGGGCTTTTAGTTCTGCTGGAGGCAACTTGTGTGGCACATTCCTGTCTGGCTGGGCCATCAAGGCCAGGCTGGACAGGGCTTGGAGCAGCCTGGGCTGAGGAGATGTCCCTGCCCATGGCAAGGGTGGAATGAGATGGGTGTTAAGGTCCTTTCAAACCAGCCCGATCATTCCATGATCTCCTAGCACATGCCACCCATAGATGAGATGAGAAGAGGTGAGATGAGATGAGATGATGAGATATGAGATGAGATGATGAGATATGAGATGAGATGATGAGATATGAGATGAGATGATGAGATGATGAGGGATTCAGGCTGCTCCCCTCTGGCCCTGCTGAGGTTGTTATGGAGGAGCCTGGAGAGGACTCGTGCCTTTGGGAATCCCCATCTCAGATACTCCCACTGGCGTTTCCCAGGGTGATTTATGCTCAGCCCTGGAGCACAGGAGTCGTTTCTTTCTGGTGTGGCCGTCCCCAGGGTGGAGCTGAGCATGGAGGGAGCCAGGTGGGTGCTGGTGGCAGCTCGGGCACAGCCCCAGGCCAGGGCTGGGGGGATTTCAGCATCCAGCCTGGAGCCTGCACAGTGGGACAGAACCAGGAAAAAAAGCAGCAGCTGGAAATCTCTTCTAAAAGTAGTTTTTCATACTTTCTTATCAAACCAAACTGCCATTCAAACACCGTGGAGTTCTGACTCTCTAAGTGTTTTTTTAGGTAAAAATTGGACTGGGGTTTAAAAAAGTAAACAAGAAACATCAAACCTTTTAACTAAACCCAGAAACTGCTGCAAAGGAGTTGACTTGTTTCTGATTGTATAATTAATCCATAATTAGCTGAATATGCATTTCTGGATTTTCACACAAACTGTATTTTCAGCCATGGGAAATGTTCTTACTGCCTTGACAGCAGAGCGGGTGTTGGGATGGGAAGGTGTGGAGCTGGGGGCTCCCAGCACCAGGGTTTGCTGAAATGGGCTGGGTCATGTCACGGGGGGCTCCAGGGGGGACTGGGGAGAGGGGAAGGAGGCAGGCAGGGCCCTGGAATCCTGGCTGGCTGTTGGGAAGAACAGAGTGCCCAGAGCAGCTGGGGCTGCCCCTGGATCCCTGGCAGTGCCCAAGGCCAGGCTGGACACTGGGAGCTCCTGGGACAGTGGGAGGTGTCCCTGCCATGGCAGGGCTGGGAATGGGTGGGCTCTGGGGTCCCTCCCAACACAAACCGGTAGGTTCTGTGATTTTATGATGGTTCTGACAGCTTCATTTCGAGGTCTGTGAATCATCTGGTACTTGCCAGGAGTGTCCCTGCGGCAGCTCCTCCCTGAGAGCAGCGGGGCAGAGGCAGCTCTCTCTCAGGTGCCTCTGTGGCTCGCACCCCACTGATAAAACCTTTCCCTCGGCACAAAACGGAACCGGGTTTCTTTGGCAGCAGCTGTTTCCTGCAGCCAGCATTGCCTGCTGGAATTCAATTTGATTCCAATCCTTTCATTCCCTACTGACCAAATCACCTGTTGAGTTCCTGGGCTTTGTGCTGGGCCCTGGCTCAGGGTGGCAAGTGCAGCTGATCACATCAGTGTCCCTTCTCCCCAGGGAACATCCCAGGCAGTGCCCACCCTGCTGGGGCTCCTGGAAGTTGGGCAGAGCCCACCAAAGACCCCTGGAGATGTTTCTCCCGTCTGTAAATGATCCAAGCCAGCTGCTGTGTTTGTTTCATATTTTAGCAGAGGGTGTTTGACATGGTTCAAGGCTGCCAGTCAAATAAATGACATTAAGAAATAAAGTTCTCTGATTTTCTTTCTCTCACGGAGGCCGGGACCTTCCTCCTCCATGCAGAGGACAGAAGCCTTTGTCTGCTTTTATCTGACTTTTCAACAGCTCCCAGCTCTTACGGGTCACAGAATCTTGGCAATGTGCAGAAAAGCCTCAGTAAGGGAGACACTGGAACTGGTGAGTGGAGATGAGAAACTGCAGTGCTCTGGGCCTTTAGTTTGTGTTCATTTTCTATCTTTTAGTTTCTCAAGGGCTCTGCCAGAAGGGTTCTCTGGCCAAGAGAAGGCAGGAGGAGGCCAGGAGGAGCAGACAGATGGTGTTCAAGAGGAGGACAAGCAGAGGTTATAACCCGAGGGGGATCAGAGTTGTGTGCTGGTCAGTGGATGGACATTCTCCTCCAGCTCTGTGTGCCCCCCAGCCTGGACAGTGCCATTTCTTCCAGACCCACAAACCTGGACAGCCCAATTTCTTCCAGGCAAGCATCATTCAGTAAATCCTGTAAATTTGGTGTAACTGTGGGAGGTTTGACAGGACCTGCTCGGCACAGTTTGGCCTTCAGTCCCACAGGTGGGTGAGTGTGCAGCAGGAGCAGAACCACTTTAACTGGGCTCCCCATGACTGTGACTCCCAGGCAGCCCTGCCAGGGGTGCCCGTGTCCCTCGGGGTCAGGCCACAGAAGGGAGCTCTGCCTGAACTTGGTCTCAGCCTGGTTTCAGCGCAGCTTCTGCACGGCCCAAAGGAAGATCAGGATGAGCCTGTGTGACCTGGACGTGCCCAGTCCTCCCTCTGAGCAGGAGACTCACCACAGAAATGTTTCTGAAGGTTGGGCAGGGGCCAAAGAGCCAGAGGTCCTCGGTGGCCTCAGCAGTTCTGGGTTAAGGTTGGACCTGATGTCTTAAAGGTGTTTACCAACCAAAAGAATTCTGGGATTCTGGGATTATGCCACATTTCTGCCCACTGAGAGTGGCAACAGTGGCAGGAAGCCACAGCAGGGCAGGACACCGTGGTGCCAGCCTGTAGATGGGCATGGACAGGGCAAAGGCTGGAGGAGAGGAGTCTGAGGGGAAACCTCACGGGAGTCCTCAACATCCTCCCGAGGGGCAGCGCAGGGACAGCTCCGGGCTCTGCTCCTGCCACAGGGACAGCAGCAGGGAGCGGCTGCAGCTGGCCCAGCAGGGATTTAGGTTGGCTTTTAGGGCAAGGCTCTTCTTTCCCCACAGGCTGCTGGCACTGCCCAGGCTCCCCAGGGAATGGGCACGGCCCCGAGGCTGCCAGAGCTCCAGGAGCATCCAGGGATGCCCAGGCTGGGCTTGTTGGGGGGTCTGGGCAGGGCAGGGGGGCACTGGGGGATCCCTGGGGGTTCATTCCCACTCAGGATATTCCATGATTCTGAGTCCTCTGGGATGTGCTGATGACAGTACCAGTTCAAAGCCTGACTGCAAGTAAGAGGTTCTGAAAACTTCTCCCCAAAGAAACAGAACAAAGTTCCCTGATGCCATGGGCACTGTGGTCACACCGATGGTAGCCCAAATCCCAACCTTCCTGCCACTGTTACAGGGAGCTGCAGCAGGGGACAAGGACATCTGTGCCATGTCAGCCCCCAGCCCACCCAACACCAACACTCCGTCTTTCCTCCTGACAGGCATCCCCGACCTGGAAGCTTTCCACAGGTGGATTTCCATCCCATTCTGCATCAGCTACATCATGGCCGTGCTGGGAAACCTCCTGGTGCTCCTGGCCGTGCTGCTGGCCAGAAGCCTGCACGAGCCCATGTTCTGTTTCATTGCCATGCTGGCCATCATTGACCTCATCCTCTCCACTGCCGTCGCTCCCAAGATGCTGGGCCTGTTCTGGTTGGATTTGAGGGAGATTGGCCTCAAGGCCTGCTTCATCTGGATGTTCTTCACCCACACATTCACCTCAGTGGACTCAGGGCTGCTCCTGGCCACGTCCTTGGGCCGCTACGTGGCCATCTGCCACCCGCTGTGGTCCGACTCCATCCTGAGCTGCCCGAGGGCCGTGGGGGCAGGATTGGTGTCCCTGGCCAGGGGAGCTGGCATCACAATGCCCCTGGTGTGCCCCCTCAGCAGGGTGATCCCTCTCTGCTGATCCCTCTCTGCTGATCCCTCTCTGCTGATCCCTCTCCCTCTCTGCTGATCCCTCACTGCTGATCCCTCACTGCTGATCCCTCACTGCTGATCCCTCTCTGCTGATCCCTCTCTGCTGATCCCTCACTGCTGATCCCTCACTGCTGATCCCTCTCTGCTGATCCCTCTCCCTCTCTGCTGATCCCTCTGCTGATCCCTCTCTGCTGATCCCTCACTGCTGCTGGGAGCACACGGCCGTGCTGGGGCTGGCCTGCACCGACGCTACAGCCACCGCTACAGCCCCAGCAGGGCCGCGCCGCTCGAGGGGAGCGACTGTGCCCTCATCACCTCCTCCCACGGCGGGATCCTCTGCGCTGTGCTGAGGCTGCCGGCCCACAGCGCTCACGGCCCTCGGCACCTGCCGCTCCCACGTTCTCGTCATCCTGGTCTTTACCGAGGCGGGCTCCTCTCCGTGTACCTGCAGGTGTTCACACCCAGCCTGGCACCTCACGTCGAGTGCTGGGGGACAATTCCCGTCTGAGGGTCCCTCCCATGCTCAACCCCCTCGTTTATGGCATAAAGGTGAAGCAGAGCCAGGAAGGAATCTGCAAACTGCTGGGGCAGGAGCCAGGAGCTCACAAGCTGCTGAAGGTGGCTCAGATTCAGAGAGACAGAAGATTTCTCCCATCCCAGAACAGGTGTGAAGCTGAGCGCAGTGAGCTGTCCCCCGGCTCTCTCTCCAGAAAGGGAACCTGGACCTGACACGGCAACAGCCGAATCACAGGGAACCAACGGGCCAGCACGGGTGGGTCTGGGCAACTGCTCCTTTGGCCAGTGCACTGCTCCCTTCCAAGATACCACCTGGAAATCATGGAATTCCAGCTGTGCCTCGGGATGATTCCAGCTGTGCCCCAGGACAGTTCCAGCTGTGCCTCAGGACAGTTCCAGCTGTGCCTCAGGATGATTCCAGCTGTGCCTCGGGATGATTCCAGCTGTGCCCCAGGACAATTCCAGCTGTGCCTCAGGACAGTTCCAGCTGAGCCTCGGGATGATTCCAGCTGTGCCTCGGGATGATTCCAGCTGTGCCCCAGGACAATTCCAGCTGTGCCTCGGGATGATTCCAGCTGTGCCTCAGGACAGTTCCAGCTGTGCCTCAGGACAGTTCCAGCTGTGCCTCAGGATGATTCCAGCTGTGCCTCAGGACAGTTCCAGCTGTGCCTCGGGATGATTCCAGCTGTGTCTCAGGACAGTTCC